TGAACATTGTTTCTATTATAAAGATACTGGCCTGTACAATTTAGTTAAGTTAAAAAAAATGTTGGTGTTATAGTCTGGATCTGGACTTAGACACTCAGCTCTTCATTAAGATTTTTTGAGACTTCAAGCTGGGCTCTAATTATACTGAAGTTTCAATTTGTGATATTTTGGCTCAGAGAATCGATATCCAGTAGTATCAGAGGACGACAGGTAGTGTCATAATAATATGATTAAATGCTTTTGGCGGAGCTTTTGGTATGTCGGGGGAAACTATCCCTAGAACTGGTTTGGTTTCGAAGGTTTTTAAAATTTTCGTTTTAACAACGTGTAGATTTTTGTATATATGTAGGTGCTTCGATGTTTGCGACAACCAGTTTGTTAGGGAGAAAAAGAGTTTATTTGATCGTGAAACTATCTCATCCGGGTATCAATGATTTTTCCAAAAATTTTGCACATTGTATTTAGTAAAGATTTGGCCTTCTGTGATTCATTTTTCTTTTTCGGGTTTTGGAATATTTATAACAATAGAGTGTTTCCAAATTATTGGAATTTGATCAGAAATAGATTAATTTATAGACTAATTATTTGAAACGAGTTTAAAATATAATATATAAATAAGATAATAAATACGAAATAATAAATTACTTATACGTTTTTATAATACTATGCTAGCTAAACCTAAAAAAATGCAAAAAAATTAAAAATATAAAAAACTAAGATAATATTATATACTATAATATAGTTATAAGCATAAACATTAAAATTAAGAAAAAGTTAAATAAAACATGAATAATAGCAGGTAGAAAAATTACTTATAGATACGTTTTAAAATATAATAATAATAATAATATATAACTAAATACCTAATATGCTAGCTAAAATTTAAAATTGCAAAAAAGATAAAAAGCTCATATGAAATAACTATAATTATAAACTTGTGAAGTTGTATCAAATATATTAAGATAAAACTTTAGGGTGGGCCCCTCCAATGTATGTATAAGCCTCGGAGCCCTTGTGCGCTGTTTAAGAATAATCATTGTACTATCATTAGATATTCCGCCTCTCAAGCATTAAGTAAAATGTTTGTACTTACATACTATAGTACTTATCTTTACCTCTGATATATATTTTGAGTGCCTGCAGTACTGCCCACTATGGGCTTAAAACGAGACAATTTCTTGACCAGGAGCAGAGACCTGGCATAACACCTTTGCTCCTGGGACCTAGCTGATCGATTTTCTGGTTTTCCTGCACTCCTTAAGAGGTAACTCTGTTTGGTTTTTTCATTTTTATCTCTAGGTAGGCTTGGTCTCCACCAACGACGCCAGCCTCGCATCGTCTGTCTGTCTTCCGGTGTGATCTACCGGGACACCGGGGGTCGATCATTTCCCCGGTGGTGAGCTTGTCCGCGACCGCTTATTCGTCCATCCCGAAGGTATGGCTTATTTTGCGGCTACCCTGTATATCTACAGGACGTTCCCCCATCCGCTACCCGGGGACGCGCCCGATATCATGCCCAATGCTCACGGGAGTGTATCCGTTTATATTAAACAAATTTTAGTTTTTCGTTTTAAATTGGGTTTGAAGAGATTTACCAATGCTAGAAAAAACACAAATACCAAATAATTATAATCATGAAATTATTTCATACAATTTAAATAGCTGTTATATCTACTAAACTAACTCAAGACAGTGACGACGTACCGTAGAATGGCTTGAACAATTTTCTTAAAACTAATCTAAATATATCGAATATATCTTTGACGTATGGTATAAATGATAAAAGGGTCCCAGTACCAGTTTTTCGAATTGTCCATAATTCTATAAAATTTGAAAATTAAATTTTATATTTTAGTTTTCACCTCAATTATAAGACTTTTCCACTAATCTACTACCCGATACCTACTTAGGAAAGGTTGATATTGTGTATTATATCGAAAAAAATGACTTTACGGGAATAACTCTCAAGCTTTGCAGTATTATCGGATTTTGATTGATTATTTTTTTATCTGAAAGAAGACTTCCTACAGCCCGTATCGATCTCTGATTTTGTATTTATTTCAAATAATTGTATTAAAAAATTTGTGTAAAAAAGTGCTTTTTATCTTGTATTTTTTTAGACACATTCTAAAGTTTGAGAATAAAATATTGAAAAACAGAGATCGATACGGGATGTAGAATATTATTTCCCTCTAGCAATTAAAAAAAAATTATGAAATTTGGTTGATTCTACAAGGTAGGCATCGTTATTCCCGCAGAGTGTATTTTTGATGACAAAATGCCATCGGCACCCGGCGCCTTAAGTAAAAGACGGCTGGTTTTCAGGAAGATTAAGCAAAATATTGCAAAGTCATTCGAAATCGTTGACAATAATATCTGGGCTGATAATTAATTTAATTTAATATTCAATGTACCAACTTTTATGTTAACTATTAAGTAGAAATTTAAAATAAATTCTTCATTATTATTAAGTGACCAAAGATAATTGGATTTTTATTTTAGATTCTGAGCAGAGCGAGGAAGCTATAGTGGTTTTATATGGAGTTTATTTTATTTATATCCTGTATACAAAATTTCTACCAGAAGGAGTGCTTCGATTTCTACAAATAGTACCTTATCTTTTAGCAAATTGGATCAAGATGGTACTTTAAAGAGGTCATTTTTTGATTTTATTAAATTTTATTAAATTCCACGGTAAAAACCACCGAAAAATTACGAAAAACCACTAATAATGGGATTTTAATTTCTAACGCTTTGTTTATCACCATATAAACGAATAAAAAAAAAATATACAGACTGACAAACCGTCTCCGTTCACAATCGTTTTTCTTATACAATGATATTATATCATTGAATTCAAGTTTAATACAATCCATTTAACAATTACCAACTTGTAACCTACTGTACAGCTGAGCGACATAAACTTACCTGCCTCTTTTTTATTCGTTGCTACGGTGATAAACAAATTGTTAGAAATTAAAATCCCATTTTAAGCGGTTTTTCGTAATTTTTCAGTACTTTTTCCCGTGGCATTAAATAACTATTGAGAAAATCGAAAAATGACTCTAAAGTACCATCTTGGTCCAATTTGCTAAAAGATAAGGTACTATATGTTGAAATCAAAGCACTCCTTCTGGTAGAAATTTTGTATACAGGATATAAAAAAAAAATAAAAAAAAATAAAAAAAATAAACACCATTGTAAAACCACTAGCTTCCTTGCTCCGCTCAGAATCTAATAATAATATTATAATATAAATTCAACTTACATGATATAATAAATAATTACAACATAAAATATCCAGACTGACAAACCGTCTCGGCTCAGAATCGTTTTCCTTATATCATTTAATTCAAGTTTACTACAATCCATTATACAATGACCCACTTGTAACCTACTGTACGGTAGAGCGACATCCACTTACCCGACTTTATATAATATGACTTACGCTATCAAGGCATGCATTTAAAATTATCACTAAACTTGACTTAAGGTATTAAGACCATTTTAAAATTATTTCTGTCAGATTCTCAATTCTTAGCTAGACATACGAGTTTCGTACTCAATTTAATGCGACTTAATATTTAGACCAAAACAAATTTCACTGAAAGTGAATTATAGTTTTGACTTACGTGATCTGTACAAACAAAGTATAAAAATATAAATACTTTTGATTCCAATAACACTATAAGCCAAAAATTTCGACTAAGTCATTTATATTCTTCGCCAAAGATTGTCATCGGGGGCTTATACACAAAAATAAATAAATAAACAAATATTAATAATAATAAAATACTTATTATCAAGGCTGGGCATTAACGAGTTAAAAGTTAAAATTAAGTTAAAACGTTAAGTTAATTTTAATTAAGTTAATTAACTCGTTACTTTTTAGTTTTTTTACAAATTAACTTTTAACTTAATGAGTTACTTTTTTTTTAAGATTAACGTGTTAACTTTAAGTTAATTTTATTTAAAATTATCTAAATTAAGTTAATTTAAGTGCAAAGAAAAATGCAAATTATTAATGAGGTTTTTAGTATATTTTATGATTTACTATTTTATGAATTTCCTGTAGACGAAAATAATACGAAAAATAACTTTAATAGTCATTATATTGGCTATATAATATCTACCTACACGTTTATCATTATAAATTGTATTAATAATATTTTCAAAGATAGGTTATACAGATTATCGTTTAAATGGGTTCCCTGAAGTGGATGTCGAATGTTGTCGTGAACGTTTTTCCATTATTAAATAAATGTAATTATAATCGGCTAGTCCGAATTTGGTTCAACAATAATTTATTACCGGCATTATAACAAGTCACAACACATATAAAATACGGAATTTAATAAATAATTGTTGTGACATGTTATTGGTGAAGCCTATAATAAAGACAACTAATAAGTAATAAAATGATAAAATATAAGTATACCATCATGTGTCAACCTTCGTAATATAAATTTATTACCCATTCAATATTTCTGCTTGGTATTTAATTCAATTTATATAAATTTAATTAATACGATGTATATTTCGCTTAAACTTTTACAGATATGAGTGAATAGCTTTGTATATACAAATATACTATATAATATTAAAATAAAGAGTACCTAAAGATAATATAATATTATTGTTATTTGTATGTATTTAACGTAAATAAGATTACAAGAATTTTATATTATTATGATTTGTGAATCAAGGCTCTGTTCGTTTTATTTTTATAACATTGTTATTGTATAAACAGTAAACACTATAAACCCATGGAAATCCTAAGAATATTCTGTGAAAATAGTAAATACCACGAGACTACGAGAGCTAGTGTCGACGGGGATTAATCACAAAACAACTGTGGTTTAATTTCCAATTTAATTTCATTATCCAACAAGCATGTGTTCTGTTCGCATCTTGTTAGAATTTATAATATATAGTTATTAGTTTATTACTTTATTAGCTTATTATATTTCTGTAAAAGTTTATTATTTTTTTAAACTACAATGTCTGAAGACCATTTAAAGTGGCCCTATTTAAAAACTTATTTCGAACAACAACTATCAACATCAGATACAACTGAAAAAAAATCAAATTTTACATTCAAATGCATGCTATACATGCCAAAAATAAAATTGATATCAACTTCTATAAGTTCAAATTCAAATTTAAAAGCTCACATCAAGGTAAGTTAATTTATATTTTATAGTAAAATACTAAAATATATATTATATATATCGTTCCTCATGCATATCGGACAATTATAATTATAATTATTCGTGAATTTAGAAAATATTAAAAATATCCGGTTAATGTTAAGGTTCAACGGTCTATTATTATTATTAAATTGTTTTCAATAATATCAAAATAAATCACCATATTATAGTAAAAGTACCAATTGTACAGCTTTTGTAAACAACTCGAAAAATTAGTAATTAAAATTATTTTTTGATCAATTTAGCTACCTAACTAGGTACCTACCTGTTTTAAAAAAATTTCAGTAATTGTTATGATTTTTGTTATTTTACAATATTATCTAAAGTAAAACTAAAACTCATAGGTATAAATTACCGTAATTTCACATCAAGTATTGAAAAATAAGTGGATAAATTTAAAAATGTGCGATTTTTATGCGTTTTATATTATTGAAGTTAATACCTATTTTTTCAGCATGTTCATCCAAGTGAATTAATTACATTTAATGAGCTTGGAAAAAGGAAGTCGTACAATAATAATAATTGTACTCAACCCAAAAAACAGTTGAAATTATCGGAAGTAGGAAAAACTGTAAAAAAATCTTAGTCAAACAGAATTTGATAAGGCTAACTCTATTCGGCTATTATAAATACTGTGTCACCTTTTTCTTTGATTGAGCACCCTGCATTTATAAAATATTGTCACTTAACATCCAATAAAGTTCCTATGTCCAGAAGAAGTTTGATGAGAAATGTAAGCTCATTGTTCAATGATATGATTCAACAACTGAAGACTGAACTAGAAAAAATTGAATATGTTTGCATTACTGCAGATTGTTGGAGTATTTTCCACAGGTAAAATATTATTTTTAAATTATCAAAAAAATAAATTTTTAATTGTTATTCAATAATAATATAAAACCTATGTTTACAAAATAAATTTATTGTAGATCGTATATGGGTTTTACAATTCATTGGCTGAACCCAATTACATTGGAACGTAATTCCCGCGCCCTCGCTTGTAGACGCATGTTAGGGAGGCATACATACGATAATATAGCAGAAATAATTGAAAAAGTTCTTACAGAATTTGATGTACACTCTAAAACCACTCTAATTGTCACAGATAACGCAGCAAATTTTGTTAAAGCTTTCAAGTAAGATGTATATTTTAGAATGGCCTATTTGTATTAGTTATAAATATTATGATTTATGTTAATTTATTATAACGAATTCATTAAGCTATGATTGTACACCAACTTTTTGAATTGTATTTAAAATTGTAATTTATATACAGTGCTGATAATTAAATGTTATATTATCTTTTTCAACAGTATAAAAAATACTAGAATTAATTAATCTCTAAACGCTGGTATACAATTATAGTTTCTTTTTACTTTTTATAATAATAATATACTAATTGTATGTATTTATATATTGTAATTTTTTGTAATAGTTATTCATTTTATTTTTATAATTACAAGTTTTTCAATTTTAAATGTATTTATTTTGATTTCAGAGTGTTTGGTGCTAATAATGAAATTGACAATAGTGGTAATAATATTGAAATGTGTGGAATTGAAATTGAAAATGATGAAATATTGAGAACCATAAATATCACTGAAATACTTGATGGTCAAACTCAAAACACAAATGATGTATTAGATATAAAATTGCCAAAACATCAAAGATGTGCTGCGCACACGTTAAATTTAATTGCAACAGTTGATATTCTTGAAGCAGAAAAAGATGGTCCATATAAAGTACTTAGTAGACGTGTGTTTGCTAAATGTCAATCTATTTTCAATTAGCAGAATCAATCGACACAATGTGCTGATAAAATTAAAGAAATTCTGGGAAGATATCTTATAACACCAAACGCTCCCAGGCAAGTTAATATTATTTAAATTTCAATACTTTAAAATTAAATATCATGTATTATTATGACTTATCAGTGTTTCATTATTAATAACAAAATAAATTACTATAATTTTCAGATGGAATTCGTTCTACGATGCCATAAAATGTATTGTTGACCATATAGATAAAATGGATACAATATTCACAGCATTTCAATTAACTCCTTTCTCAGGTCAAAGAGAGTCTTCATTTTTAATTGAATACTGCAAGGTAATATGTTATTATAATTTATAATGATAGGTATAATGAAAGAAATATAATAGTTTAACAGTAAATTTACTAAAGAAAAAAAATTTTTTTTTATATTAATTTGTCATTACTTTGGGAAGAAGGAATTGAGAAGGAAATCAAATTTTTCTTCAATGGGATGTATGATACCTATTGTTTTATTATCTTAGGTGATGAAACCAATCGCAACAGGGCTAGATGTTTTACAAGGTGAACAACATGTTTGTATTGGATATCTATTACCAACAATTACAGCTATAAACAAAGCCTTAAATGAATTCAACAATTTAAATTTCTGTAGACCATTGGTTCATGCTTTAAAAAATGGATTAACCAAAAGGTACTTTTATAAATGTTTTAAATTTTTATTATATTCATTGGAACTCAATGAAAAATGATATATGTACTCCGATGTTATTCATAAAAGTTAAAACTTATTTATACAGTTAAAATGGTACAAAAACGTTTTACAGAACAATTTCATAAATAGCGTTTATATTATTACCTTATGTCGCCCACATATTTATATATTTTAAATTTATAAGTAATAATGCACTTGTAATATTTAACGATTCTTAAGTTAAAACTGAATTATATCATTATAATGTGTTACATGGTACATTAAATATACATTATATTTTCAGGTTTAAAAATTACATGCAGTCAAAAACATTACAAGTTTCTTCGGCATTGGTACCAAAGTTCAAATTAATTTGGGCTAATCCCGAAGACAGAAACATCATAAAACAACATGTTATTGATCGTGTGCAATTTCATTTTGATCAAAACACAAATGTTTCTTCTCTAAGTTCTTCAAATCTTGAAACAAACAGTGAAGATGAAGATGATTTTTTCACTTTTTCTAATGATGAAATCTCAGTAATTAACTCTGATTTCCAAACTTTAGTTACTAATTATTTATCAAATACTAACATTAAGGTACCACTTGATTTAACACACGAATTAAAAAAAGCTTATATAGAATTTAATACAGCTATACCGTCATCTGCTCCTGTGGAGAGATTGTTTAGTGCTGGTGGTCAATTATTTGACAAAAGGAGAGGATCCATTTCTGATAACAATTTTGAAATATCTCTTTTGTTAAAATATAATAAATATTTTTGATGAAAATTTAAATTTTGTTTTGTCCTTGTAATTAATTAATATTGGGCAGTTAATATATGTATATATTTATTTATTTATGTTTATAAATAATATCTATGTACACATATATGCTATATAGCCACATAAATGAGATTATCGATTATCTTATTTATATGTTACCTAAATGATATGTGGTGACTTTCAATAATGAATGCTGTAGTCATGACTCGACTATTTTATTATTTACCATGTTTAGCAACAGTGGAAGTACACAATTGGTAAAATTTAAATGATTGCATAATAATTCATAAGTTTGTAAAGACAACTTCTATAAATATAATTAACTATTTTAAATGTATAGTTATTTTTATATTCTTTAACAGGTATTTAAATTTGTACGAAAAGTTTAAAGCTTATACAAAATATGTAATTTCTTAAGATATTTATTAAAGGTTTAACATTTATGGTTTTATTTTTATCTAAAAATATAGTACAAAGTAATTATATTTTTACTGATAATAATTGTTCATGTTGTGCTGAGCCTAGGTTTTAAAACTACACGGTGGCTGCATTTTGTCCTCAGTATAGAAAATATATTTGGGTGGTAGGTACTGCCTGTTTGATTTTTAAAATTTATGTGAATCAATTAAAAATATTGGTATCTTGGCAGTTGGGAGAAAACTATTAAGGTGTTTTTTTTTTTTTTGATGTACCACTTGGGTAAATTGATTTGAGTATGAGTTCAGGACTAAGATTTATTTTGGAAAAGTAGGTTTTTTGATAGCTAGTTAATACTTTTATGTCTCATTTAAAAAATTTCCCTAGTATTTTTCTTGAGTGTAAAAAAACTAATATTATGTGTGCAATTTTTTATTTTTGCAAAATAGAAAATTTTAACTTTAAACTAAGTTAAGTTACTTTTTTTTCAAAGTTAACTTTTAACTTAACGAGTTAACGTAAAAAATATGATTAACTTTTAATTTAACTTAACTTAACGAGTTACAAAAAATCGTTAACTTGCCCAGCCTTGCTTATTATTAAATAGGTAATAAATAATAATCTATACTATAAAAGCGAAATAGAAATCTTTGTGACGGGTTGGCTCTGAAAGGGCTTGACTCCTACAAAGTGTTTCTCTAATCTATACTATCTATAAAGCAAGTGCCGATTTTTTGTAACGCATACGAATACATACCGTTCAACTTATCGTCACAAATTTTTTACTGTTATACCTGACAGTCTGCATTGCTCATGCTCACAGAAATGCATACGTTTATATTTTGTTTTTGTCGTTGCGTTTTTAGATTCTGAGAGAAAAGATGAATGTATTGATTTTACAATGATGTGTGTTTTTTTATTTTTTTATTTTTGTGTTTGTGTACACGATAAGTAGTCGAAATAATGCTTCGATTTTCGACTACAGTATCTAGTTCGATTGGAAACGGAATATTGTTGGTGCATTGGGTAGGTCAAAATTTAAAATTCCAAGTACTTTTCAAAAGTGCCAAGAAAAATAAAAGAGAAATTAAGAAAAAACGGGAATTTCTACGCAAAATCGATTTTTCAGAAAATTTGGTTTTTGGTGTAACTTTAAAACAAATGACCGTAGATACATGAAATTTTCACTGTTTGTTTATATTTGCATTTTCTATACACGATAACATTTTCAAAATATTTTGATTTATTTTGAACTGTTTAGGGACATTTTCATTTTGCATTTTTTTTAGTTTTTTTTCTAAAGATATCAATAAAATTTTATTTGTTAGGTGAAAAAGCTTGAAAATTTAATAGAAGGCTCCTAGTATATTGTTTCAAAGGCAGATGAAAAATATTAAAAATCGTTAGTCACAGTTTTTTTTTATAAGCATTTAAAGTTCAAAAATTGACAAAATATGGAAAAATCACGAAAATTAGCAAATTATTTTGAGTTAAGAATTCGCAAAAATTTTTCTTTTTAAATCTAAGATTTGAAAATGTAATACAAGATTACTCATAAGTTTTTCTACCTTTATCAATAAAAAAATCGCTACCGGACAGTCAAATTAAGTTTTTATGAGCGTTTGAAATTCAAATTTTTACAACATTGGATATTCACTCGATTTCTCATGTGGCGATTTCCTTATTTTATTGTAATTCAAAAACGAATTACTGTAGATACATGAAAATTTCACAGAAAGTTTATATTAGAATTTCCTATACACCATACAATTTTGAAAATATTTTGACTCTTTTTGAGCCGTTTACGGACATTTTCAGTTTTCAATTTTTTTTAGTTTTTTTTTTCTATAAATATCAATAAAGTTTTATCTGTTGGGCCAAAAAGTGTAAAAAATTTAATACAAGGCTCCTGATATA